CACACAGCATGTGCATCCGATGCGCTCTTAATTTTGAACATCGAACACAGAGCCCGTCCAGTCTATTCTATTCTATCATAAGTAGTACTAGTGCTTCATTGTAGGCAGAGCGCCATGGACTACCGGCGCGTGCATCGGCTCTCTCAGCTTTGATATCAATGGTGGCAGCATAATCTCCGGATCAGGCTGGCGTCGCGCATTCACTTGTTATAACCAACGCTTGCTCCATATAAATATCGTAGTATCTTTTAAACAGTATAGTGATCCACAATGGAAGATTCCGGTACGAAATTCGAGTAAAATTTTATTTTCTCGGGTCTGATGCATGTGATATCATTCGAACAACATAGACGAAGGAATGGTTGGTTGGCTCGTGATTTCAACTTTATTGGTCATTTTGTCATTCAAGTTTCCGAGTCTGGTCCAAGGGTCCGTGACCAAGCCTACCTAACAGACCGGCCAGCCGAACGGTCTGGATTTTCGGGACCCGATCGGCGGCGGTTCAGAGCAGGCTAGACCGAGTGACTCGCTAGCTTTTGCCACCGTGCATGCCCTAGTGCCGCCACGCCGTGCTCCTGTACTGCTCAGTGGCGCCCATGCATGCATGTGCAGCTCGCCATCGAGGTCCATCGAGGTCCCAAACAACAGTCGCTACATGGAGAACGCAAACAGTTGGACTGACATGATCGTGTTAATCCGTCTAGTGCATGCGCATGCCGGATTCCAATCATCTCTGCATGATTTTTCAGACGTACGTAGGGTGGCGGCTTAGATCAATGACTCGCATTCAACTTGAAAACAATACTATACAAAATACCCTTTTCCTCACCGCCATAGCTAGCTTAACTACATTGAGTTGTCATCTCAATTAACATTATACACGCAAAATGGGCTATACAAACATAACATTGGAAACTTAATTGCATGGCATATTCTCATTAAAGGAAAGTACATACATTACTTCATATTATTCTAAGCATCCACAGTGTGTAGAGGCAACATGGCCTCTAAGCTGGGGTCCATGTACGTGCCTATAAGGGCATCTCCAGCCGTTGGCCCTCCCAGGACGTATAAAAATCGCCCCCTGGGGGCGAGCCGGCGATACAATCGGCGCTGGGGGTGGTTTTGCGCCCAGTCGTCGCCCCCAGGCGCCGAAATTGGCCCACTTTGCAGCCCAATTTCGGCGAATAAAGGGCCCATGTGGGCGAGAATAGGCCCATATTCGGCGTGGTTTCGCCGTGTCTCGGCGTTCAATTATCAACACAATTATTTCTTATCATATATTTCATCACAAAAAAATCAAATACTTCAACAAAATAGTACAGCAACAAATAGTTCAATACAAATTATATAGTTCAAGAAATAAAAACTCGTATTTCATCACACGGCGTCCCCCTTGAGCCTCCATAGGTGCTCAATCAGATCTTTCTGCAGTTGATGATGCACCTGTGGGTCTCGGATCTCCTGACGCATACTGAGATAGGCAGTCCAAGTTGCCGGTAGATTGTGATCAACTTCGGCTAGAGACCCCTGCCTGTAGTATGGTTCAGAAAAGTGATGAGGGAGTTCCTGATAGAGAAGGTCTTGCCAGCAATACAAGCTGTTTGGCCTGAAGGCGATGCTGGACAAACCATCTACATTCAGCAGGATAATGCTAAGCCCCATATCTTGCCAGATGATCAGGAATTTCTAGAAGTTGTCGCAAAAACTGGACTTGACATCAGAATAATACAACAGCCTCCCAACAGTCCTGATTTGAATGTGCTTGACCTTGGGTTTTTCAACTCGCTCCAATCCCTGACAGATTGTCTGAGTCCTAAAACACTACAAGACCTTATTAAGGGTGTTTTGGAGGAATTTGAAGGCTATGATGTTTACAAGCTCAACAGAATTTTCCTAACTCTGCAGACGTGCATGATTGAGATCCTAAACCATGCAGGGGGCAATGGGTATAAAATACCCCATGTAAACAAGGAAAGGCTTGAGGGGATTGGGCAACTACCTCCAAGATTATCATGCCCTCTAGAGGTTTACGCAAATGCATTATACAACTTAGAGCTAATGGAGAGGGTTCAGTAATGGAATATGAGCTTGTGATGACGCTTGCGGTGAGGTTGTGATGCTAGTGATGATGCTTGTGATGCTTGCAATGAGGCTCTGATGCTAGTGATGAGGTTGTGATGCTAGTGATGATGCTTGTGATGCTTGCGATGAGGCTCTGATGCTAGTGATGAGGTTGTGATGCCAGTGATGATGCTTGTGATGCTAGTGATGAGGTTGTGATGCTAGTGATGCTTGTCATGTCTGTAATAATCCATATTTGAGTATGTTGGAGTACGTTGTTTTTGTGGAGTATGTTGGAGTATGTCTAACTCCACTTGTATGTGTAACTCCACTTGTATGTCTCCACTTGTATTTTTACTCCACGTATTTTTTTACTCCATACTCCATTTGTATGTGTATATTTCTACTACTCCATTTGTATGATCATTCGCTGATAGGAGAGTAGTAGGAGAGGAGAGGAGTGAATTCGAGAAGAGTATGTGAGAGGAATATGAGAGGAAAGGAGTGGAATAGAAGAGGAGAGGAGTGGGCTGGAATAGGAGAGGAGAGGAAAAAAATTAATTTAACTTTAACACAAGATAAGAGAAGAGAGGAGACAAGAGAGGAGAGAAGAGAAGAGAGAAGAAGAGAGAAGATACTTTTCTTTAATTAATGCCAAGCTACTCTTTAACATCATTCTTTGGTCAAGTTACTCACAAGCTTCCATACTGCCAAGTTTGCTTATTGGCATTCTTTTAATTTTAGTCCTGCTCCTACTAATCCTACTCCTAATCCTAATTTTAAAAAACCTGCATTAAAAGGAGTATTTTGGCACTGGATGAAAAGGAGTATTAACAACTCCAAGCTGAATACACAAATCTCTACAGCAAGCTACTCCAAGCAGTACTAAACCAACTAAGGTCACTTAAAGCAGTACTACACCAAAATACAAATACTGATGTCACTAATCTTTCCAAGCAGTACTACACTTACAGTAATCTCTGATAGGAGAGTAGTAGGAGAGGAGAGGAGTACTTGCAAGTCTACACTAAACACTACACTACTCCAAGAACTACTCATACTGTTGCTGCACTTGCTGAAAAGAGAAGAGAAGTCAAGAGAAGGAGGGTACTCCTGCTACAATTCATTTAATTTTAGTTAACTCAAGTTCATTTACTGAAAAAATCATTTAGTTTTAATTAAAAAACAAGTTTCAGTTAATTAAAAAATCATTTAGTTTCATTTTAATTAATTAAAGAAAATGACTTGTTGAGAGGAAAGGAGTGGAATAGAAGAGAGAGGAGTGGAGTGGAATAGGAGAGGAGAGGAAAAAGTTTATTTTAATGCTGAAGTTTGGAAGTAAGGTCTGGAGTTTTTGATACTCAGGAAGGCTTGTGTTAAAATCAGAGGACTAGACTAAACAAAATGAAATACGCAAGGCCGCAGCAAGAACGCAGCTCACTTCAACTAAGCTAAATTGAACTTATTTAGCTACTGAAGAAATGAGCAGCGACTGAAGCAACTAAACTGCAGTTATAAGGAGGAGTAGCAAGCAGTGACTGAAACTGCAGATACGTCGAGGTTAACATTGACAACTACTGCAACTTTTCCTTATTACTCCAGCAAAACTACTGGAAAACTAACTGAATCTTTTCACTTGAATCAACTACTGCAACAAAATTCAGTGAATTAAGTATGCAGAGATACAACTACTACCATCAGAGAGAAACTACAGAATTAAGTATGCAGAGACAAGAGTACTGCAACCAAACTGAATATACTCCAACCAAACTGAGACAAGAGTACATCAGAGATACAGAGAGATACAAGTACTGCAACCAAACTGAATTAAGTACGGAGTATGGAGAGATATAGGAGTACAACTAACTGCAGCCTTGTCGTCGTGGAGGTTCTGGCCGTGGAGGCCGTGCATGAGGGAGGCCAGCTGCTCGTCCTCCTCCATCTGCTTCCACACCCGCTTGACCTCCTTGGACACGTCCCCGAACCTCTGCATAGCATATCCATGTCCACCCAGAGCAGAAAGCGCAGCGCGTGTCATGTCAGTCAGTCAGCGCGTGTCATCGTCAGAGGTACTGTAATTAATCAAGAAGCCGGAGCGGAGGGGGCTTACGGTGGACTGGATGGTGTTGGCCCTGGTCCTGCCGGTGCGTGGGGCCGGCGGCGAGGGAGGGGGCCTGGGCTCGGTGGCGACGGCGAGCACGCGGCGGAGGCGGCGCTGGTGTTGGTGCGTGGAGTGGCGCGGGAGCGGGGAGACGAGCCCGGCCACGACGCGGCCCCGGCCGAACCCCCCTCACTGCAGCAGGTGCAGCGCGGACGCCGACGCCGCCGTTGCAGGCGAGCAGCACCAGCTTCGCGTACGCGGCGTCGGCGGCCATCCCCTTTGCCCTTCTTCTTCCTGGCAGCAACGACCAACTGTGTCAAGTGTGTCCGTCGCCCAGAAGCTCACCTCTGCACCGCATCCACCGTCTCCGTCGCTTTTATACATGCATTGCCCATTTTTTTCTACTAGTATTAGTTTGAGCTTTTGGATGAAGAGGCTGATGCGGTACAGTTGTACATCTCTCTCTAGCTAGCTAGTGTATAAAAGCCCATGCAGCTAGCCAGACGCTCCTAGGTCATTCCATCATCCTCTCTCTCTCTGCCTCGATTTGGTTTCAAGCATGCAGAGACCGACCTGCTTCCGGTTGGAGAGGGAGGGAGCCGCCCAAGCCTACACGTCGGGGCGGCTCCAGCAGCCAACCTGGCGAGGCTCCAGCAGCCTATTATGGTGCACCTTATTAAGGTGATAATCCGCCTACCCTATTAAACATGAACAAACCAATAAAATCAAGCTACATACACATATACATAATATATTACATACACAGGACCAAAAAACAAGGTTCGAATTTGAAACAGAGAGGATGGCGCCAAGAAGATGATGGCCGCTGTCATGTTCATGGCCGGCGTGCTTGGGCATGGAACGCGCTGGAGAAGTTGGGGATCCTGTCGAGGTGCCGGAGGGCGCGCTCGGCGGTGTGCCGGGTGCGCGGGTCGCCGTTGCGGTACGCCTCCACCAGCGCCGACGCCACCGTCTGGTCCGCCGCCACCTCCTGCGCGATGTCCTCCACCCGCAGGATGCGCTCCACCACCCACACCGCCCGCCGTCGCAGCGCCTCCGTCCGGTTCTCCACCAGGATGTCCACCACTGGCCGCAGCCCGTCCGCATCCCCAAGCACCCCCACACCCTCCGCAGCCTCCACCCCGTCCCCCACCAGGGTCGCCAGTGCCGCCAGCGCCGCCTCCACCACCTCTGGGTTTAGGTGGTCCAGGCACGCCACCAGCCGCTCCACCGCCTTCCCTCCGGCCCCGCCCTCAGCCAGGCAGAAGCTCTCCCGCAGCGAGCAGAACCCGCCGTGCACGCGGCACACCCCCACCGGACGACCTGCAGCCGCACCCGTCGACGATGGCACCCCGAAGCACGCACACAGGAAGCCTCCGGAAGGCGCTGGCGGCGGCGGGTCAGGGATGACCGTCAGGTTCCTCGTCTCGAGGGACAGCTTCTCCAGCGCCATCGCCGAGTAGAGCTGCACCGCGTCCTGCCCGTTCACCTGCACCAGCTCCACAAACAAGGGCGCCAGGGCGGCCTCTCGGGCGAACTCCACGTACTCTGGCGCCTCCTGCAGCATGCACGTCAGCCTGTACATCACCTTCACCATGCCCTCCGTCAGCGGCGTCGTGTACCGGTTCCCGCGGATGGCGCCCCGCCGCAGCTCTGCCAGCTTCGTGCTCAGCGTACCGAACGCTCCCAGCTCAAACAGCTGCCGCGTCAGCTTCGAGTCCCTCTCCGGGAGGTCACCCAGCAGGCCCACGGCTGCCGCCTGCTCCTCTGTCACGCCACCACCACCGGCGTCGGATATCACCCGGAGCAAGCTACTGAGGTGGCCACCGAGTGCATCTGCGAGCTCGGCGCCCATGTACGGCGACACGTTGCGCAGGAGCTTGAGGGACTCCACGCGGATCTCCCGGTGAGCTGCCTCCAGGAACTGGATCAGGCTGATGGTCGCGCCGGAGCTCTTGATGGCCGACACCACGTCTTGGGCTGTGTCCGGTGAGCTGGTGAGGCCGACCAGGACGTTGAGCAACTTGCACTCCACGGCAGGGCCGGTGTTGCTGATGAGATGGAGCAGGCCGTGCACCACGTCCTCGGACAGGAGCGTCTGCCTGCCGGCGTCGTCCAGCGGGATGGAGCGGAAGCTGGCCCCAGAGGCGACCAGGTTGGCGAGGATGGTGGCGGAGACCTCCTTGAGCCTCATGGGGAAGTGGCTGCTGGCGCCGACGGAGAAGAGGTCCTTGACCAGCGGCGGCAGGATGCCGGCCTGCAGCAGTATCTTGGCGCTCAGCTCGTTGGATGACATCTCCCTCATCGCCTTGAGCGTCGCCTCCCTCGCCGGCAGGCCGCCGGTCTTGATGATGCTCACCAGAAGAGTTCCAACCTGCTCCGCCACCACCACCTTGACGTCGTTGGCCAACGCGAGCTCGCCGAGGTACTCAACCATGGTAACCTGCACCTCAGGCCCGCCTGCAATTCAAACCAGAAGTTGGAAAATTAAGACCACAAATTAACCTCTGGGAAACATTCTAAACCTTTTGCAGTTCAAAACAGAGGAGCAGACCAGAATTAGCAAAACTATAATAGTACGAACATGGTGAAGCAAAGTGAAGATAATGATGCAAACCTTGAAGCAGTTTGGTGAGGAGAGGCTGCAGCCTGCCATTCTCAGCCATTTGCTTGATGTTGGTGTCATACTTCTCCAGATTTCTGAGTGTCTTCTCTGCTTTCTCCACGGCCATCATGTTCTCCGACTTGCTGCTCCCCATGCCAACCAGCAGGAGTATGGCCCCATAGATGGCACCGATCCTTACGCACACGGGCTCATACTCTGACAGCTCATACAGCAGGGAAACTGCAAGCTCCCTCTCCTGGATATGCTCGTTCGACAGGAACTTTATGATGGTGCGCACCGTGTCGCCTTTCCCCAGCTCTTCCTGCAAAAGAAACCAAACATACATACATACATACATACATACATATAGTTACTTACTTACTTGAATAGGTAGCATATACACTGGGCCAACTGTGGAAAATCCACCCATCCAACAGGACTTCAGGAAGGAAAGAGAAGACAAACCTTGTTCTGATCATTGTCCTCGACGACGGTGCGAAGGACCTGCAGGGACTTGAGGCGGACCCTCCTGCTGCTGCTCTTGAGCAAGTCGGCGAGCGTGGATATGATGCCCTGGGCGCGCACGAGGTTCTTCTTGGCGCCACTCCGCTGGCATATCTGCGAGATGTATGCCATGGCACGCAGGGTGTCATCCTCGTCGTCCTCGGGGTGCATGCGGAGCGCGTTGCACGCCTTCTCGAGGTCCTTCTCGTCGTTCCTGGCCCTCCACTCGTCGATGACGTTGCGGAGGGCGATGCTGGGGTTGATGTCGGTGGTGCGGAGCTCGCGCTGCGTGAGAGGGCAGGTGGGCCTGCGGCCGTTGTCGCGGCACTCCCTGAACCACTTGAGGATGGCCTCGCGCTCGAAGGTCTGGCCCGTCTCGATGGTGACTGGGTCCTGCATCACCTGCTTGGTGAGCGGGCAAATGAAGGCCTCGAACGCGGCCTCCTGGTACCCCTCGGTGGACTGCTCCTCCAGCTCGCCGTCTGAATTCCGGGCCATCATCTTGCAGCTGTGCAGTGCAGATCCTACACGAGTCAGATAGCGAATTGTGCGATACATGTGGTAAGAATTAACACTGACGTAGATACAGCAACAGCAGCAGAAATAGCAGTGGTGCAGTGCACTAGTAGTTTTGGCAATATCTTGGGCATATACTACCTCTGTACCAAAATATACTAGTGATTGTAAGGATTGTAAGGATTCATTAATACATGCATGGATAATACAGCAGCAGCAGCAATAGCAATAGTGCTGTTTGTTGAATTCGAAATTAAGATTGGGGCTGGTGATGGACGGAACATATATGGCATACATAAACATAGGTGAAATGAAATGAAAATGATGATAGATAGATAGATAGATAGATAGATAGATAGAGCCTACATACAGTACAGGCCTAGAGATTGACTGGCCTTCAGGTAGTCAAAACTAAGTAAGCTGCTGCTGCTACCCTACCTTACCTAGGAATGGAACCAAAACTTGTCCCCAACCCAAATACTATACTAGAAATCAAAAACAATGGGGAGGGCAACCCAAGCAAGCAAAGCAAAGCAAAGCAATACAGCCCCCAAAATCAAAATCAAAATCTTTCTTACTAATTTGTTTGGTGTTTGCAGGAATTGGGTGGGAGAAGATGTTGGAGGGGATCATCAATTAAAGTAAAGTAAAGAGCAAACCTGAGTAGTCAGGTGGAGATGGCCGGAGAATAAATCGACCGGAGCTTCTTTCTTTATTGGATCTGCAGCGGCGGCGGCGGCCCTGGCCCTGGCGGGGCGCAGCAGCAAGAGTCGGCGGCGCAGGAGGAATCAGCGGAGGAGAGGACGCCGAAAGGAATGAGAATGAATGGAGGGCGACGGCGAGGGAAGGGGAGGGGAGCTGAATCAATCAAAGTCGCAGGCAGGCAGGCAGGGGAAGAAGAAAGAAGCAGCAGCTGTGCTGTGCTGAGCTGCCTGCCGACGACAAGCCAGCTCGAAAATGAAATGAAAAGAAAGAAAGTTGCTCTTTTTATTTCATATTCAGGCTGCTGCCAAGTTACTACTGTCCCATATGCAGATGCAACTGGAAATGGAAGACCAAGCCCAAACCCAAAGCAAACTTGTCCCAAGGTCAACAACAACGACGACTCAAGGCTCAATCAATCAATCAATCAATCAATGGTGCTCACAAATACTACCACTGTCCCATAATATAAGAGAAAGCGTTTATATTATGGGATTGGATGGAGGGACAACTTTTTTCTTTTTTGTTCTTTTTGAGAAAATACAAACCCCCAACAACACGTACATTCACACATTTCTTACAAACCCCCAACGTCCACAAACACCTCCTAGTCAACAGAAAGACACAACAAGAGTAGCACCTACCTCTTTCTTTCTTTCAATCTTTCCTTCTTGGTAAATTTATTTTACTCTAGCATCTACTAACCTCCTCCCACTTTACTACTACTACACCCATCTCAAAATGTAAGACGTTTTTAGGCTAAGAAAATCTTATATTTTAAGGCGGAGGTAGTATATAAGTAAAAAAAAATTGCATATATAATTGATGGCTGGCTGGCTCCTCTTGGAGTTTGTGTTTTGGTCAACTCAAATAATAGTATGTGCTGCCTTCCCTTTTCTTTCTCTCTTCATCAGGCCATAAGTCTAATCAGTGTCATTATCTTCTTTCTTCTGCATTAAACATCATCAAATGGATGGATGCATGGGACTGACTGACTTGATCCATTCCCACCCACCACTGTATTGATCCATTCCAACCCAACTACCCTACTACACACACACACACACACACACACACACAGAGACAGAGATATACACATGGATATTGCTGACTCTTTTCACATGGACAGACAGCTTCAAACTTCAAAACACCAAGCATCACCAGTATTCAAACACAAGCAACAATTTTCTTCTCTTCTGCAGCAGCATTATATTGTATTGTGCACAAACAAACAAAATGCCAGGTCAAATAAAGGGAACCTTTATATATATTCTTGTTAGATCATGTAAGTAGTAAACACACAGACGCAAACTTGAATACAAACTCTTTTACTAACTACAACACACACATGGATGAATGAATCCCAGCCAAATAATGTACCTCTGTGAATACATCTCTACACCGCGCGCTCTTCTTCCCTTACTCTCTTACTCTACTCTATCCCCTCCTCGACTGTCGACGGACGGCGAAACCCCTCGAGACCTCGGCTCGAGGGCGAAATAAACACCCGTCGTCCATCCATCATAAAAGGAAAAAATATCCTTGCCAACAGTGCATTGAATTTGCACCCATCATTCAATGTTTTGCTACATCAGGGTGTCACCTTCCCCACGTCGACACATTTCCCAACCTTGGCAACGCTAAGCTAAACGCCGAGTTGGCGAAGAGAGTCGGGGCCCACCAGGTATATCCGTCTTTGGCTGCTCTTGTACCGGAACACCACCACGCCTTTGTAAGCCGCCCGTGGAACACCGTCCTGGGAAAATAAGGGCAGAAAAAACAGAACATGAGCCGTCATATTTTCTACTGGACACTATAATACCCAGGTTGTTACACAGAAACTGCTCAGACGTAACACAGAAATTGTAATTTGGCTCATGTGACAATGAGAAAGGTTAAGAATTGGATTGAGATAGCAAGGAACCTTCCACTCTTCAAATATTCCAAACTGACGAGCTATACGCTCGAAGTCGCCCTGATTGTCATACTGAATCCTTACGTCCACATCCAGATTGTGGGCCTTCAACAAAGCATCGGATCCATGCACAGGTGTGGCGCTAGCCACGTCTTTCCCGAATTTGGTCAAAAACTTGTCCTGATGTCACCAACACTAGTATAAGGCACCCTCTTATGGAAACAGCAACTTTCTCTCTGAAGAACAGATAAATACTCCTTACCTCCTTGAGGTAGCTCAGGTCCTCGGAATTCCAGTCAATCTGTGGCCACAAGTAAGTCTCAGCAACAAACAGCTTTAAAAATCTGTACAAAATGAATTATATGGGGAGATTGATTTTTGCATACATGAGCATCATTTAACTTGATAGGTTTCAAGTATTGATCAAAGAATTGTCCCATGCTTGATCCCTGGAACGGAAAAAGAAAAACCCAAGTGTAAATGCCAGCAATCCAGAACCAATGGCTCAAATATTGGTACGGCATGCAAAAATGCAGTGATAAATTTGCATTGGTGTAGAGTAGCCAACATACATGCTCGCCAAAGTTGTATGTCCTGCATACTTCTGGCCGAATAAACTGCCGATCTCTGTGTACCTCCTTTAGCCTCACCCAGTCATCCCAATAAGTAAACTCTTGTCAAGGAAGAAACAGATGATACAAGATAGTCAAGAAAAGCATATCTGCTCATCTAAGAATCAGTAGGCAACAGTAAGGATATGCTTTGGGCCACTTTGGCGACAGCTCCATCCATGTTGACTTCGTTAGCATCCATCCAAGCCCCGGAAAGAAGTCCGAACGGTAAAGAGCCTCTGCAATGGATTATGTAGAAAATTGAGTAACTTTCCCTATTAATGTGGAAATAAAGTTGAACAGAGGCCTATCAGAATACTAACTTGGGTCATAAACGAACTGCTTTTGCCCATTATCATTCCAAGATGAAACAGCCATTATTGTCCTTCAATACCACAACGACAACAGTTACAATAACGCAGTTAGACACACTTGATATTAATTCACTGACTTGCCATATATAAAACAGAGTGCAGTTGTAACATACTTGTCAGTGTCAAGCAATTTCGCTGCAGCCTCGAAGTAGTCGAAGAAATCTGGGGCGATCTCCATGTCATCTATTAACCAATTAACCATGGAAATGAGATGACATTTGGAAATATCCAAGAACAAGACAGTCAAAGAACCATCAAAGTGATCACACCTTCCAGAATGATTACTCGGCGGAAATCATGCTTAATGAAGAGCTCATCCAAGGCCCATTTATAGTGGTCTGGGTTAAGAAGCATCATTAGGATAAGAATCGATCATATCATCAGTCTTAAGAAAACACGCATCAATTGAGGACCACCTACTAGCTATCTTGTAATATGCAACGTTTTCTCCTGGTCTTTCAGTGCGCACAGGCTCAAGATCCACATGCTGCAACACATCAAAGGCGAAAAGAACACTGAGTGCTAGCTATAAAATCATTTGCTGGTAGCCTGCACTCTTAGAAAAATACTAGAAATACTATGTAGAGAAGACTGAAACTAGAAAAGATACAATCATCCAAATTCAGAAACCTCCCCCCACCCCGTACCACATCATTGCACAGTTTCCTCAAGGGTAGCAGTTCCCATTGATGTTGTACCAGGGGCAGACCATTTCTACGATTGGACCATTGACATCACTGCATCTGATATCCACGTACATAACGTACTTTCCCAGTACCAAAATAATCTAGTGCCCTCTTAAAAAGCAGCACATCAAGATGCGACAAGTGAACATGTCTCCCTTGTGGCTAAGCCATTTTGCTGTTGGATCAAGTGTTGCTCCGACATGTCTCAAATGCTTCAAGTCCTACCTCCATCTAGATTTTCTACCATCTCTCGGTACATCTACAGCTTCTTGCAGGCCAAATTTTTATTTCAATTTTTGTACTTATATGTCTACTTGGTATGAGCAGTCATGCATAACATGTATCAGCTATGCTAACAATATTACAAGAGAAACAGAGTTGTTCTATTCTATCAGGCAATTAAGAAGCATAAAGCAAGTGTTTCTTTACGCACCTGCATAAATGTTATTTGATTGTAACTCAAAGCTTTCTTTTTTACTTCTCCATTTGTTCCATCCTGCGATTGGAAGGAGCAGTGTAAAAAAATTCCTTCCCACACACTTAAAGATACTGAAAACAAGAACTGAAATTACTACTACCAGCACCTGTGATATAAATAGTGGAAACTTTGAAGCAACTGCTTTCTGGTACCTGAAAGAGTTACCGTCCATCATTTATTTTGTCAGGAAGGGTGTTGTACAAACTGAAGCTACATGGA